ACCCACTCACTCACTCACTCACTCACTCACACACTCCCTCTTTCTGTTCTCTGTCCCGTCCCATGCCACCACCACCCCATCCTCCCCTCCCGCAACAGTTACAAGCTTCCTTCGTTTCGTGTCTTGCTCTGCTTGTTCTACTTCTTGTTCTCTTCTTCTTTCCCATGTCACTCGCTCCCACGTTTGTCTCTTCCTTTCTCTCTCTTTTACCTCAGGGTAGCTTCTGTTGGACACGCCCCTCCACCCCTCCTCCCTCTTCGTCTTCTTCTTGTCCGTTGTTGGATACGGCGTGACACAAATCAAGTTCAACCCCAGGCCTAATCGAGGATACCCTCTTCTTCGCCGTCCTCCGCATCTACCGGCGTCTATGTGAGAGGGTGAGAGAGAGAGGGAGCTCTGTATCCGTACGTGGATGGGCACTTACATAGACTTGCGTGCGCCCACCCCCGACTTGTCCTCCTCTCACACACTTGGCTTCTCGCTCGCCTACTCGTCCACCCAACCACCACCACCTCATCCTTCTTACTAGGATTAGTCGTCCACAACCGCAACCACCATCACAACCGGGACAAGGTCCAGGACCAGGGACCAGACTAAAAACCAACTCTCCTGCATGTCCCGCCCGCTCCTCTCACCTATCTCCGTCCACCACTGGCTACCCGGCTCGCACCCGTAGGCTGTCCGCAGTAATACCAGCTGCCCACGTCCTTTTTTACGTCCGTAACTCCTCCCCGGAACACCCAGGTAACCCTCGACCGTTCCCAGTTTCTATCCTCTTTGGACCGCATCCTCGACTCTCTTCAACGAATGACCGTCTTGTTTGCTTCGATTTTCATCCCGACAGCCTCTCATATCACCCTCCTTTTCCAAACGCTCGGCCATTGACAAGAATCCGAGATCTGACCTGACGTGCGCCCAAACACGCCAACCAACCATCAAATGGACTCTGGGTACTATCCCGCTGCACGTCATGCTGCTGCCGCTGCCGCTGCCGCCAACGCCGCCGCCGCCGGTGCTGGTGCCGTCTATTCGGCTCAGCCTATGGACGACCACGCACACGCGTACTCACACCCACACGCCTACCATCATGGCCACTCTCACTTACAAACACCCGCGCAATCACCCCATGGTCAGCCACAGTATTACTCGGTGAACCCCGTGAGCCCAACCGCACAAGGGCATTCCATGACGAGCCCCCGCGTCCTACCAAACTCTGACCTCATGCCCGGCGCTCACTCACCGGGCTCAGCAACTTCTTCCGCGCCGCACGGCATGACCGGTCTGCCACCTAACCGCCCTTCGTCCCCGGCCGCTTCTGTGTCGGGGGCGCCTAGTCCCGCCTCCAAGCCTATCCGGAGGCGCATGCGCATGATTACGTCCTGCCTCGAGTGCCGTCGCAGAAAGCTCAAGTGCAACAAGTCTCAGCCATGTGTCAACTGCATGAAGTTTTCGCGCGACTGCGTCTACCTTAGCCCCAAGCTCGACGAGGCCAGTCAGCTTCGTCTGACAGAGATCAAGGAGAAGGTTGGATCCCTGGAGCGCCAGTTGGAGCGCGATGTCGCCAAGACGTCCCGCGCCGCCCAGCAGCAAGCTATCCTCGCCGACGATGTCGAGGACGACTTTGCCGAGGAACGCGATCTAGAGCCCACAGACATGACGGCTCTCGATGTCACGTACGAAGAAGATGCAGACGGAACCGACGATCTCATTGACCTGGGAGTTCAGGTTGGTCGCATGCGTATCACAGAACGTATCGGTGGCCTGTCCAGACCCAGGATAGCCGAAGAGGTGTGTTTAGCTCTATTTTTTTTTATTTACTTTTCACGGGTTAAATTCCAGAACTTGATTCCTTGTCTCAAGTCAGCGATGTTCTAACGCAATAGCTAGATCTCGGCTGGTATATCTGGCCCGGGCGGTCCTCCGGGAGGTCCACCTCCGGGTGGTCCAATGGGTGGTCCGATGGGTGGCCCGATGGGTGGCCCGATGGGTGGCATGGGCGGAATGATGGCCATGATGGGCGGTAGGGGCATGGGCGGGGCCGGACGAGGCGGGCCGCCCCGTGGTGGACCGCCTCCTGGGTATCCCGGCTTTGGTGGTCCGCCACCCGGCATGGATGCCATGTCTGTCGTGAGTGGAAGCTCTGGTGACTCGATTCCCGACTTTTTGAGGCCTGGCGAATCCTACATCCCCCCTTCGAGTGGCTTCTTCTTCGGCCACACCCCCGAAGCCCTCTCCCTGGATAGGAGATTACCTCAAAAGGAGGCTGCAGATCGACTCACGCAGCAGTATTTCGCAGCGGTTCATCCCATTGCGCGATGTGTTCACAGACCGTCATTCGAGGCCGAGTATGTGAACTTCTGGGATGAAGTCTACAGCAACATTGAACCTAGGGCCTCCACTCAAGCCGTCATGTTTGCGGCTTGGTTCAGTGCCGCCGTGAGTATGGACGATCTGACAGTAAGGAACTTGTTTGGTGTCACCAAGGCCAACTTGATCGATCGAATGAAGACCGAGACAGAGAGAGCTCTCGGAAAGGCCAATTTCCTACGCACGACGAGAGTGGAAACTATGCAGGCTTTCATCATGTATATGGTACGTTCGCCTCTGTGTGTTTCATCATGCTCATTACTGACACCAACTATAGCTCCCACTCTGCAGAGCCGAGGTGTCTCGAGCTCACTCCGTTCTGGTCGGTGCTGCTGTCAGGATGGCGGAGTGTATGGGTTTGCACAGAGATGGGGAGACATACGGACTAAATCCTCTGGACACCCACGTTCGGAGGCTCATCTGGCATCAACTATGCTTCCTCGATATCCGCACCTGCGAGGCGCAAGGCCCCAGGCCCGCCATTAGGAGAGAAGATTACGATACCAAGCTCCCGCTCAACTGTGAAGAAGAAGACTTCTACGCTGCCGGGCCACCCCCTGAGCCCGCGGACGTGTGGACCTCTTCATTATTATCAGCAATCCGGACCGAGTGCAACGAGATGATGCGCGTAATCTGGCTGGACCGCCGCAGGCTCGAAACCCGCAAAACGACACTCACTGCCGTGCTCCAAAAGATTGAAAACTTTAGGCGGCGGATGGTGGAAAAGTACGAACACTTGCTCGATGGCGAGATCCCCATTCAACGCTACGCCAAGTTGGTCATGAATCTGCTCCTCTACCGCCTCCACGTTATGATCCTTCATCCCTACCACGCCAATGCCAACAGTCCCATGACCCACCGCCTCAACAATCTACTCGTCACCTCGGGCATCATGATCATTGAGATCTCGATACAGCTTGAGAACGACCCGCAGTTCCGAGACTGGGCCTGGTATCTAGGCGCCTACCAACAATTCCAGATTGCTCTGCTCTTGGCCACCGAGATCTACTACCGACCGCAGAACAGGGAGGCCCACCGTATCTGGGCTTGTCTGGATTACGTGTTCGGCACAGACCGAGACCTGCCACCTGAGATCAAGGGCTTGCAGATTTTGGGCGAGATCATGGGTAAAATGCAAACATACCAGAGCATGCGCAAGATGCGTGCACCAACGGGAACCTCACGAGCGCCGCTGAACAAGACTGCCGTCAACGTGAGAAACGAGAACCAGGGGCCGCAAAACGCCCAGCAGCCACACCCCGGGCAGGGCATGCCGATGGGATTCAAAGCAGAGTCTGGCATGGGTGGTCCTGGTATGCAACAATCTTCACCGATGAGCGGCATGGCGTCCCCGGGGATGGCGTCTCCCCCCAACGCGCAGATGCAGGGCCCGCCTCCAGGCATCGTCTTCGCAGGCGTGTCAAACGGCGAGGCCATCTGGAGTATGCCGCCCGTAAACGCAGACAGCCCGGAAAGCGTCAGCGACGGGGCCAGTATGGGCGGTCACAGGCCCTCACAACCGATGAACATGATGAACCCTCTCGAGGGCGTAGACTGGGTAAGTTTATCTCGTTACCGAATACATGTGACTTTGCAATTTGCTGACCATCTTTTGCCAGGATATCATCAACAACCTGTTCCCTCATGATCCTAACACAGGCGAACTGAACATTTCTGGCTTCAACGACCCAACGCTCGGGTTGGTGAACGGATTCCAGTGGGCTCAACGATGAGAGAGTGCATAGTTTCTTGCCCTTCATGCTTGCTTTTCTTGCTTTGATGTATTCGACATTTTTCGCGACCATGTTTCAACGCGTTGGAAAGCTACTGCTGCCACAAGCTCAAAAAAGATCCACGATACCACGGCTACTTTTGTTTATGCGTAATGCGGAGTTTGAAGGGGGCAAAGTCTTCACTAGGGAAGAAAAGTTTCACAGATAGGAATCTTTTGGGTTCACGAGGCTTAATAGAGGAGGACTAGCAATGGGAAGGGGGGGGGGGGGGGGGGGGTTGTACCAATGGTTCATCATGAACGACTGAAAATGCCCGGAGGAACTATGTCGGAAGTGAGGTGAGATGTGGGGTGAAACATCTGCATGAGGTAGAGCGTAATAGAAAGCGAATTTCTCTTCAAAAAACAAACATCTTCACCAGAGCCAGTGTGTTGGGCATCGAAACTCGATGATGTTGCATCAATCGGGACATAGCACAGATTACGACGAGAATTTGTTTTCATGATTGATGAAATGAAAAAATAAATAAATGAAATAAATAGTAACCCAAGAGGTATCGTCGTGCACTCTGCAAAAATGAAAAAACACAAGCCATTCTTTTTTCCTCCCCCTTTCCCTCCCCTACCCGTCCCATTCTGTGCCCTCCCGATGCCAGAACAAATGGGAATATTTTCGTAAACTTCGTAATCTTTGGTTGTTCTTGTTTGTTGGTATCCCGTTTCCCTTAAAACCAATGTGTACTTGATCGTCCCATATAATGTACTGTCCCACAACCCTATTTTTGGGACCTACATCCGTTCCATTACATCTATATCACACCATACATTTTCCTCTGCAGGTTATCCCCTCTTCTCTCTCACGCACATGGTACTCCTTGACGTTGCGAGAAGGCAAGCTCCTTTACCGCAAGTTGGAGGCTTGATCAGGCAAGAAAGTACCCATGCTGAGATCGCTGCGCGTGGCCGCCGTCTGCCCGCTGAGCGACGCACCGCCAGCGTCGCTTCCGGGCGTAAACAGCCTAACGGACTTGCCCTTGGACCGAGCCACCAGTACCTGGGCAGGACACACAACAATCTCGTCGTCATTGTTGCCGCCGTCGTCACCCTTCTTGACGACGAGCGGGAACAGTACGATGCGCACGACGGCGCTCTGGGCCTCGAGGGCCTCGTTGGTAGCCGACTTGTCGGCGCTACGCTCGTTCATGAGCGCCGCGTTGAACGTGACCGTGTCGGCGAGCTCGCCGTCGGCGTCGTACTCTGGTTGCAGCGGCGGGAGCATCATGTACTCGGCACGCTGGGTGCGCATTTCGATGGAGAGGTCGACGGCCTCCCGCATCACGCGGCGCAGCTGTGATTGGATCTGGTCCTCCAGGTTGGAAGGGGGAGGGAGGACCCTGGACAGCGTTTGGAAGATGGCCTGGACCACGGCCTCGGTGTCGAGGTCGCGCTGGTGCTTGAAGCTGGGGCGCTTGGAGAGCAACGTCAGGGTGACGGCGCGCCATTGTCGGACGGCCGGGGGAGGGCCAACCTCGGTAAGCAGCTTTTCTAGCGACTTGAGCTTTTGTCGCTGCTCGCGGTCCATGCCAAAGAGGTAACGAGTGAACACGAACTCCCAAATCATGTTCATCGTCATGGACATGAATACATCTCGGCGCCTGACACGGTCGCCGAGATAAGTGTCCACGTCGGTGCCATCCAGGATGGCGTTGTCGAGACGGTCAATGACCTTTTCGTCATTGATCTCGTTTGTCTTGCGACAGGCGCGCATGTCGGAGAACTTGGAGAAGCGCAGAACCCACTGCTGTACGTGGGAGCAGAGCTGCTGACATCTGTGGTCAAAGTGATCGACGTCCTTGACGTTGAGGAAGTCGCTGTCAGCGCCCTTGGATGCCAGGATCTGGCGCTGCATCTGTCGGATCTTATCCTTGGCCGCGTCGAGTTCGGAGCGCAGGCGGCCAATTTCTGCATCCTTTTGCAGCAGTGACTCCTGGAAGTGGTTATGCTCGGTGCGCGCTTGCTCCAATTGCCGCGAGGCGTCAGAGTGCTGGGTCTCCAATGATCGGTAACGCTCATTGTGTTGGGCAGCAAGTTGGGTATTGGCGCTGTTCAAGCCCTCGTTGACCTCTGTCAATCGGGCAACCTCCTTTTGTAGAAACTCGAGCGATTGCTTGAGGACGTCGATTTCGGCATCGCGCTCTGCCAGAATGCCAGAGTCTCTGTTTTTGTTCTGGGTATCGGTGTGGGATCGGGAGTCTGTGAGCATCCGGTTCTCGGCCATCAATTGTTCGACGCGAGACTCGAGCTCAAGGACTTGCATGCTCTGGCGACGCCGCATGCTGTGTGGACGGGTAGGCGATCGGGGAGAGCCGATGCGGCCTTCACCGAATCCATCCTACGATTGAAGTCAGTCAAAGTTGTCTCGTCGGTGGCTGGCGGCGCTATCACAAGCGTTTCCAGCAAAAACAAACAACACCTGGAATCGCAGGCGGTGAGGCATAAGAGCAGACAGAGACAAATGAAAAAAAAGAATGTGCGTTACTTACAAAGACGTCGGCCATGTCCTTGGTACGGACACGACCTTCGTTGGCGACGGGGGTGTTGGAGGAGCTGGTCGGGTCCTTGGGGTCCTTGTTGAGGTCAAGCTGACTTCGTTGGCTGATGGATCGCAGGTCTCCGCTTACACGCCTGTCGACCCGGCGAAGAGGCGGGGTGGCAGTGCCTGACCGTTGGATGCCTGGGCTCTCAGGCCGGAACTTTAGTGGTTCCGGCGTTAGCGCCCCAGTCGCCCGCCGGTGTCGTGACAGGCTGCTGTTGGACATGGATCTGCGCGCTATAGGCTCTGTAGCTGTAGGTGCCGGAGACTGCAGGCGTGCGACCCTGTCGGAAACGCTGCGATTGCCTGGTGGCGGAGTGCTGCGTGGTGACGAGACAGTGCTGCTGATTGCTGCACCAGCCAAGGCAGCCGACGCAAGGTCCTGATACTTGTTTCTTCGTCTCTCGAGCTCTGGGCTGATGCCACGTTTGTGCTTTTGCGGCTCTGGAGTCAACTCCCGTTCCGCAGATTCTCGCAGGACTGGTGTCCTGGAAAGTGGGTGATCGTGAGCCTCTCCTTCGAATAATGTCTTCTCCGGCGACTTTGCTCTCTCCAGCTCTCGAGATCGTCGTCTCTCGCTTCTGTGAACCCTCAACTCGGGTGTCCGTTGTCCATCTCGGCCTGGTGATCTTTGCTCCTGCCAGTCCCGAAGATGAACGCCGCTGTCCCGTTGCTCCTCATTATCGAAACCTCCCCTTCTGAGCGGATGAGGTGAGCTGGGTACAAACCCGCTGTCTCGGGTTGGGTCTGGTGAGCCCGAGGTTGTGCGAGAAGCAGGTCTGTACAACAATCGAGGCTCAATATCGCTTCCATCGTGACCCTCCTCCTGAACAGGCGGCAAGATGCTCGGCACCGGGCTCCGGAAACCGCTCATCTCAAAGGTCCGCTCCGGGCTGTTTGATGAACGGCCAACGAAGAGATCGCGACGGGTCTCGGCCTCGAACCCACGATCGACTGCTTCGTCCATATCGCTCACCATGGTGCTTGTCATGGGTGACCTGGCACCCCGGCTCAGTGAGCGTTGTTGTGTCGTCATGGTAGTAGGCTCGCTCGCTTGCTCTGGTCCAATTTCTCTGCCAAGAATCGGACTCTCAATGTTGTCGTCTTGAGCCTTTTCCTTGAGTGGTGCTGTGAGACTCAAAACATCCTTTGCCCTTTCCTCCTCCTGTGACCTTCCTTTCGATACGTCTTCGTCCAAGCCTCGAGATACTGGGAACGCGCCGGGCTCTTGAGCTTGGATCGGAGCGCCCTCCTGATGTTGAAGTGAGGGGCCAAAGACATCGTCCGCCATCATGCTCGTTCTTGTTGATTGCTCAGGCAGCTGGTCATCGGCTGAATCCTCGCCGCCGCCCCAAAAGTTCTCCACCTCTTTGCTTGCAATCTCGCTGACATGTTTTCTATCGGCTCCTTCCCAGAGAGAAGGATCATCAAACATGTCTTCTTGCGTTGCGCGCTTATCCTCGTACTTCGACTTCTTCCCCTTCTTCTTCTTACCGCTGCTCGACTTGCTGGCGAGGGCTACTGCACCGGCAGCAACTGCTGCTGCCCCGATTGCGGCGCCAATGCCTGATGACGACTCGGATGCCTTCTTCTCTGGTGTAATTGGCTGAACAGATTCATCCGGCTTGTGATCATACTTATGCTCCATGTACGAAGCGGCGATGTCGATTGATGCAGCCGGCTCTGGTTCCCGAAGAGGCTCATCTTTGCCCACGCTTGGCTCAGAACTCTCTCTCTCACGAGGTAGATTAGCTTCCGGGGTGGGGAGCTCATCTCCAATTTTGCTGATGCCCGCGACTGGTGTCTCGCGTTCGTCAAAGTACGCAGCCGCAACATCTCTAGAGCTAACAATCGGTTCGGGAAGGAGAGTATCGGATAACTCTCTCGTCTTCATCTTCTTGCGCTTGTTTGCCTGATCGAAAGGCAATTCATGAACGATGTTGCTAGTATCTTGTGCTGGAGTGAGATCGATGTCTACTGACTTGTTCGAAGTAGGAGACAAGGCATTGGCACCGGTAGGCTCGGGGACAATGACCGCAGGTGATTCGAGAGCCGACGCGGTCTCTGGAGGCGGCGGGGCTGAAGGGCTTTGAGTGATTTCGCGCGGTGCACTGTCGAAATACTCAACCGTGTCTTTTGTATCTTCAGATCGGCTAGGTCCAGGCGCAACCGGTTCTTGTTCCGGACGTGAGATGGCGCTGATGGGGGAGCGGTCCAGCGAAATTGACTGTTTCTTGCCCTTCTTGCTCTTCTTCGACTTTTTGGTGACGGGAATGTCCCATTCATCATCACCAGCAACGGCGGGTTCAGTTGTTGATTCTGGTTTGAGCAGCTCCGCTGTCTGATAACCTGGGTCTTCCAAAGACATAGAGCTCTTCGCAATACCAGTCTCAGCGATGGTGTCCGCGAGGTTTTCTGGCGCTTTCGCTACGGCTAAGTCGCCTTCAGGTAGGACGGGGGCGCTGGACTGCTCCTCAACGATCTGCTCTGGATCGTGCGCGAAAGAAAGTCTCTCGGCCTTCTTCTTGTCTTTCTTCGACTTCTTAGAGACGATCTCCTCCGCCATGGGTTCTTGCGGCGCAACGTCAAAGTCGTCGGGTCCTTGCACTATCCCACGAGAGACAGCCTCAGACGCTGGATCTGCGGCGGAGACGGCTTGCTCAGATGCATCTTGGGTCTCGAGATCAGGCGTGGCCGGCTCCTCGAACTGCACCTGACTGCGCTTTTTCTTGTCTTTCTTGGACTTCTTGACGACGAAGGTTTCATCGGGGTCCTCAGGGAGCACACTCTCGCGGACATCTGGTACGGTCGTTTCCTCCAAGCTGCGCTTGTCATCTTGTGTAGTCACTTCGATTGGAGCGTCAGACAAGACTGCATCCACCTGGCCAGCGGAGAATGTCTCGTCACCGACAACCTGCTGCGACGTAGATTGAGCAGCTGGCGTGTCGTCGGATATTATCCGGGCTTGATCGAGGTCATCGTGGCGTTCAGGTGTCATGATGTCCACCTTTTGGGGGCCAGCTGATGCGTCGGAGGTGGGCAGAGGCTGAGGGACAGAAGTGGAATCGAGGGATCTGTCTGTTGCGAACGCCGGTTCCTCGGCCGAGACATAGTCCTCAGTTCTCGAGGTAAGTCCTTCTAATGGAAGAGGCTGCTGATCCAAATGTTGCTCGGTTTCTTGCTGCTCAGTCGACTCAAGTTTGGGTGTTGCGGTGCTAGAGGCCAAGGGCGACTCGGGTTCAATGGCGTCAAATGCTAGGCTCTGCCGCTTCTTCTTCTTCTCTTTCTTGCTCTTCTTCGCAGGTGAGAAATCATCGAGATTAACGGGGTTTGCGACCTCTGGCTCGGCCACGACGTCGGATGTTTCGATTGATCGGGTTTGGTCAGAGGTAGCCTCATGTAGAATCTCGGTTGAGATTGGAGCCACGGATTCTGGCTCAATCAAAGGTGCAGCATCAGGCTGTGTGTCGAGAGCTTTCGGCTCGGGTTCAAGGTCCAGAGTGGTCAATGCCTTGTCGGACTCTGTTACTTGTCTTGGCTGGGCATCTTGAGGGAGGACAACCGCGGGCTCAGTCTCCGGAACCACCGAAGCCGACTCCTCAGAAGGCAAGGCCGTTTCCTCTACAGGCTCGACGGCCGAGCTCTCGACGATGGGCTCTGTAGTGCTTGGCTCTTTGACGAACTCGGTGCCAGCGGGTTCCAGCGTGGCAACTTGCTCCTCAGCAACTGGAACGGGAGGTTCGGGCTCGGTCAAGGTAGATTTCCTCTTCTTCTTGTCTTTCTTGGACTTCTTGACCACAAACTCTGACGGCTCCTCGGCAGCCACTGTCTCCTCGGCAACCTGCTCTGGCTCAAGTTCGATAGATTTCGAAGAAGTTGATGGCTCGGGGTGGTGCTCGGCTAAGTGCGCGGGAGGTTGTTGCTGTAGGTCTGCCGCCAGCTGTTCTTGTGAGACTCCCTGTGATGACGCAGGCCGTACTGCCTCCTGAAGTGATGCTTGTACAAAGTCAGCCTCAAGTGGGGCTTCCACATGGGGCTCAGCGAGTGGGATATCGGATGTTGTCTTGTCATCAGAAGCGAGGGACCTGTCGGTAGTCGTAGCGTCGTCGACGTGTGCTATTTCCTCCTTGGTGTCTTCGACGGTGGTCTCCATCGGAGTGGCGGTTCCAGATGCAAGATCGAAATCTTCCTCGGCCATGGACTTCTTTTTCTTCTTGTCCTTCTTAGACTTCTTGACAGACACAGCCCCAGGCCACTCTTCCTCAACTGGTGCGTCGATTGGAAGCTGGGAGTCCTTGGCGATGGAATCTTGATCGATGGGAGTATCCACTTGAGCCGAGGGCAGCTGTGCTGGTGCGACGGTTTCCGCTACTGAACGATCCTGCACCTCTTGGGTTGAAGTGGAGATTGGCTCGGACTCGGGCAAGTTGGCATCTAAAGGAGCCTCGACCGGCTCGACAGAGACATTGGGCAACTGCATTTGCTGACTCTCAGCTTCGAGTGCTTCAGCTGGAGTGGCAGTTCCCGATGTGATGTCAATGTCGTCCTGAACCTTGCCCTTCTTCTTTTTCTTATCCTTCTTTGACTTCTTCTGGAAGGCTGGGAATTCGTCATCGAGGTTTGGAATCTCGGCGGAAGCCTCAACAGGAGTCTCGACGGAAGCTACGGTAGGAACTTCGGCGGAAGAGTCTTCGACTGAAGCTGAAGTAGCATCTGCCCCAACGGTTGGCAGCTCTGCATCAGCCGACGGCACCTTCTCAGCCTCATTGACAGCAAGAGGGAGCTCGCTCTCCACCTTTGCCATTTCTCCTGCATCTGCAGTAACGGCATCACCTTGGGGCTCCAAGACTTCTACCGAAGTCTTTTTGGCCGTCTCGGTTGAGTCAAGTGCGGGAGCATCGGTGGTAGTGACGGCTGGTGCTTCTGAAAGATTGGGGGCAGATACATCGAGAGGGTCCGAAGCCT